CTTAAAGTTATTTTTCCTAAAACATAGAACAGTAAAAAAAGAAGTAAAGCAAACAAGTTTATCCCACTTCATGAGTCTCAACCAATAATAACACACACACCTGCGAATTTAAACTTCATCAAAGATTTTTTGGTTTTAATAATGGATTTTCTATAATTCAGCTGTGCAGATTTCGGGTATAATATAAATTTTTTTCTATCGTGTAAGGATTTTTTACAAATTGGGAAGAAAAAACTCATACTTAGATCAAATTATTATTTCGTTTACCACAATGAACATTTTTTATTATTATGTTTGTTAACAAAAATACAAACAAACTGAAGAAAAGGGAAGAACATTGAAATCAAATGAATATGCATCCTCATTCATCCTGATTTTTTTTGTGAAATCTATGTCTTTTAGTCTCAAACTATATGTTATGGTCTTTTGTGTATTGTGTTTGGAGTGTCTCGTTTCAATGAGCAGCAGTAATCAGCCATTATGCTGATGTTTCACCTTCCCTGATACCTCCTCTCGATTTCCCTGATGTCTTGATGAAACCTTTCTCCTTGTTCTTCGCTGATAGCACTGAGATTTTCAGAGAAATAGTCGATATGTGTGTATAAGTAATGAACGTTCGAGCTCATATTACAACCCAACTCTTTGAATTTATCAAGTATGTTATTGATAAAATTTTCGTAATTTGCATCCTTGTTTCCTAAAGATTTGTCATTAACATCTTTATAAGCAATCCATGCTTCTTTTTCAACTTTCCTCATTGTCCTTTCGAACTGTTCATCCAAAGTCAATTTTCCTAATTTGAGGCCCAACAAATATCCCTTCTTTAAGTTTTGCTTCTGAAAGAGCCCACATAGATACTTGAAACAGTCGCCATTTTTATCTAAGGCCTTTACAAACTGCTTCATCAAGCCCAATTTTATCTGAAGTGGGGGTAATAGGACTTTCTTTGTGTCAACCAAACTTTCATGTTCAATATTTTTCGATCCTGGTATCAGGCTGGCTCTGTGTGGCCATTGCTTCTTTATCCAGTGCCGATTTCATGCTCTGCTGTCCCATTCACACAAAAAACATGGAAACTTTGTATAACTGGATTGTTGACCCAGCAACATACAAAGGACTTTTAGTGGAGTAGGTACAGGTACATCAGGTCCATGAGCAACAGGTCTTATAGCAGATTGAAAGTACAGATAAGAAATTTCCTTTTTGTTTTGAGTACTGTAGCCAGACCATTGGAGTTCCAAAAGGCAAAGACTTTTTCTTACCTTTAGTCCATTGTTTCAACTCTTAGATATAAAGAGTGCAGAGCCCATGATTTGTCTTGGTCCCCAATTTTTATTACAAAATACATGTAATATGCTTTTTTGATGAATTCTGTAATGTTTTGCCTTTGTTTCTTTACAATAAATTTACCACAAATATAATAGAATATGTTTGGGTCATTTACACCACCTCTTGTTCCCATAGTGATGAATAAATAATATTGAAAAAAAAAAGTAAAAGTGCACACACAAACAAATACTATCCAGAAATAACATGTCAAGTGGCCTGTTAACCATTTATATACTAGTGGTGTGTTTCTCGTGGTTTCTAGAATGATCAATAAGACTCATGTCACAATTGGTCTAGAGAAATCTATAGCCAGTGGTTGTGATCAATACGACTCTCGTGTCACGATTGGTCTAGAGAAATTTATAGCTAGTAATTGTCAACATTTTAAGCATAACAAAATGTGACCCGATTTCAATGAAAATTATTGACTTATGTAAAAGTGCATGTGACATATTGTGAAAAGTCTGTACATGATTGAGTAAAATGGATATCATTTTTGGATTCAGCATACAGGAATATTTGTAGAACATGTAAAAATTTCAAGACAATAAAACCATTGCAGGCCTGTGTAATTTGAAGAGCTTGTTAGATTCAATGCTTAAAACTTGATGCAACAAATAGTGTTTTACAAATGGTTGTACCATATCCATTTTAAAATTAATAAAATATACATAGATAAAGATATGCAAAGTCTTCAGTGGTCTAAAAATCCCTCTCACTAGTTTTAGTCTAAATGAAGATTTAGGATTTGGCAAGCAGATAGTACAAAAATGGTGACTGGTCAGCAAAAAGTATAACTGTTCTTTGGTGCATAAAGCTTGATTCTGTTGCTCTTGTGCATTGTTAATGTTGACAATTATTTGATGTATTGGTAGCATCGAATAATGCAGAAAAACAATTGCAATTGAAGTTCATAAAATCTATATGTTTTAAGAGGAGCAGTGGATGACCCAGTGTAAGTAAAGATGTTTTTGCCTTGGTATCTGAGTCAATAGGCTTGGACATCTAGATATCATGAAAAAAAATTGGACTTGGAAACTGAAAATGTTTTAATATGTGTTTTGCAATCAATACTGACCACCATCTTATTTTTCACTTTATATTCCTGAAGCACAATAAATTTACTGAACTGCTGGATTGGCTGCTACACTCTCCAGGCCTAATGCCATAGAGGTCTTACATGTGGGTGCATCTCAAGTCTTTGTTTTATATTGCATATATATATATATATAGCTACACTAACAACTCTCATAATTTCTATCAGGAAACTAATTTTGTTGTAGAATGCATAATTGTCATTGATTTGATAAGAATGATAAAGATGTTTAGCAGAAGTAATATAGATATGGTATGCAACTTGAAGATGCTTAGTCCAACATTTACTTAACTGTGTGTTTCTACTTTTCTTCATTTAAAAGTCATTGATTTAAAATGTGTACATCAATTTGTAGACATCATGTATATTGTTAAAAGTGATTTAAAGTGACTTTGCTTTATAATAGTATGCTGCAGAAAGATTTGTATTTTTACAGATCTTTTTAACATACTTATTTGTATACAAATGTTATAAACATTAAAAATGTTGTTGTTGCCCAAAAACTATGATAATAGAGCTAAAATTTTATATTATTAATGTAGTGCTGAGAATAAGAATTACATGAAAAAGATATATTTTAAGAAAACATTTTAAGCTTCCAGGAATCTTATTATCTTGTAACAAAGTATATAACTTCCCTTTAAAGTGCTGCAGAAAATTTTGTTTTGTTTGGCACTGTTGTGAAATTATAAGAGGAAAATCATCATATTAAATTAAGAACATTTTAATTTTTAAAATTATCTTACTGTTGCTTGTTTTGTTTATTCATTACATTAAACTTAGTGTCTAACCACGACTAAGAATTAGGCATGTTGAAATATTTTCTATTAAATAGGTATCTTCAAAACAATATATATATAGACACACATACATTTTTGTTAGCATCAAATATTTGTTTCTAGGACTGAAGAAAGGCTGGAGTTAAGGCATAATTTGGAGGGACATGCTTTGGGTGTGGTATCTGTTGATATCAACCATGAAGGCACAGGTACTTTTATTTTATTGTTATACCTTTTCTGATTTACAATCTTCAGTAAACATATTAATAAATAAACCACTTGTTTGAGAATTGATAGACTGATAGAAGAAACTGAATAGGCTATCTTAGCCATGCATTACTTGAGGGTGTATTATCAGCATCACATGAAGGCTGAGTTTATGTTTACAGGTTATACATGTAAAATGTATTTGTTTGATTTCAATGTGATAAATTGTGAACATAGTAGAGTATGATTATACTTAAAATTTTGTGTTTTGAGCAGCATTTTTGAATTAAAAAAATGCAAATTAACTAAACAATTTGTTCCAAAACATACTTACCTTCTCTCATGCTTACAGCTATTACTCGACTGCCAGGGTTTCTTCCTTTGCCCATCAAGCATTGTTCTAATTTTTTTCTCACTTGCTCTAGTCTTTTATACCCCACTTAATTGCCCTCAGCAATATTTATCTTATGACACTCTCCACCTATGTCAATGTGCTCTCTATTCTGATACTGTATATAAGCAACTCATTCAGATAATGTTATCACTTTTTCTTGAAAAAGTAATCAGGAATGGGTTTTTCTGTACTGTGGCTGTTGGAGACACTTGTTGCAATTTTCATATCACATAGTTCATTATATTAAAAAAAAAATTGTTATGACAAGCCAATATACAGCATGAATTCTCAGGTTACTGTTTCAGGGTGGTGGGCTCTCTCAGTCCTCTCTCAATATCAGTCTGTTGGAGCTCCTCCGGGTTCATTGGGCTTTAGTTCATTTACTCCTTGAGCTTTCAAGGTTGGTCGGTGATGATGCATTCCGACAACTCGATAGTGGGCTCCTACATCACTAGGCACGGGAGCACTCAGTTGAGAGATCTCTGTTTTTGGACATTGGATCTTTTGTATCAGGCCCACTTATCTATCTCCTGATGATTGTTGTTTTTTCCGTGTATCTTCCCATCAAATTTGTCACCTTACCATGCCCCTGGCTGCTCATTTCTGTCATCAGTTGGAGGACATCATTAATGTTAGTATGTGGACCACTCCCCATACATTTACTGCTTATTTTCTTCATCACCTAGTTGTTTCCTCGTCTACAAGGTTTTATCTTCCTCCTGTTGCAATTTTACATTCCACAATGTCTCTGAGTGGGTAAGTGCTCTTTTTTTTCATCATTTTCTTTCCAGGTGCTTTTGATGCTTGGTTGGATTCAACTCAGTGGCGAGTGCTCCTGTAAGACCTGTGTGTCCTAGAGATGGGGTGGTCTACAAGACTGCTTGTAGGCATGCCTTGTAGTATTTTGCTTCATAAAGAGGTTTGTTCCTGACCGTACACTTATGTACTAACATGAGTAAAGCAGACAGGGATTACTGCCCATCCCAGATGATCTATATTTAAGGTCACAGGATTAGCCTGCTTTTCAAAATAAGGTATTGTGGTTACCCATTGCATTGTCTCCAGTGCATCATTCCTGTGGACTCTCCAACATTTTTCCCACTTTCTTCTAGTGGAGTATTGGAGTCCTTGCCACTTACCAGTTCCTAGCTGCTTGGGTGGTGGACCATGGATCATTCCTTCTGAGTGTGCTCAATACCACTCAGTTGAGAGTAGGGTGGTGGTGTTCTGCCAGTGTAAATGCCTTTAATGCTTATCCTACCTTGGACCTCATGTACAGTTCTAGATGCTGTCAGGTGTTGGATGATGCATTCTGCCAACATGCAGTTCACCCTCTTAAGGCACCCTCTTTCCTATCATCCCCTGGATGTCATTTCTAGCAGATATGGTGGTGGTTGGAGTTGGACCAGCCACATAAGACCTCACGTGTGTGGCTGAGTACCCTCCTCCTACTACGGACTGGATGATACATTCCCAGTGCTCCCTGGCAATGGACTAGAGATGCACTCCCACTTTGCTGTCCACCTTTCTACTGTTCCCTGGATGTTGGTTCCCATTGAATATGGTGCTGGTTGTGTTGGATGTGTGCACATGATGATACAGATCCTTGGTACAGAGGATCATCCTCCTTACCAGTTCCCATATCTGAGGTGAAAGGTAGAGGACACTCTTCCTACCATGAGCCAGATATTACTATCGTGGTTCGCCTGGTGTTTGTTGAGGTCAATCTCCTATTTATGGTCTGACACATCCTAGCGACTCTTCATCAGGGGCCCCTGTATATCACATGTATGTGGCCTGGTACTCTCCTCATACTGCGTACTAGATGGTATACTTCCAGTGCTACCTGGTATCCCTAGATGTTTGTTACTGGGGAATATGGTGATGGTTGTATTTGACATGAACACGTGTTTAAGCTGAGGAGGTCCCTTATTGTGACACAATTTCTTATTGGGGATGAGTATACGTGACTCAGAAGTGGTGCAATCTCCTACGGGGGTGTTGCCTTACATTTATTTGCACTCCCCATGGTCTTCCTTTGGATGCTTTCTAAAGGGGAATGATCTTCTCACCAGACCCTCCATCAACTCAACATGGGATTCTAATTACTTGTGAAGATAAGATATCGTATCGGAAGTTAACATTTTGTTAAAGTGAAAATATATTTCTGATAGATACTTACCTCCTCTCACATTTCCCTCCCATCCTTTCCACTTCTGATGTAGATTTTGTATGTATTGCTCAATCTTGAAGTGATTTTAGGCTGTACTGAAGAAAGGGTGCGAGTAACAATAGGAGTTGTGTCACACTGCTATTGGTGGAGAGTTTCTGCATGATCATGAACATGATAGCTTGCAGATGTCTCACGTGAATACAGGTGAGGGTAGGTTGGAGTATCAAGGCTACCTGGTATCCCTAGAGGGCATATAGAGGGCAGTATAAGTTGAGAAAAGCTATTTATGAGAAGAGGCAAGTTTCTATCAGAAATATATTTTCAGTTTAGGAAAACATTAGCATCAATTAGTAACTAATTTTTCATGTGCAACTCGATATCTCAAAAGTTCTTTGGATAAATCATTTACTGTTCTGCATTCTTTACAATGAATGTTGTGTGGTTTTAAAATTACATGGATTTTTTTCCATATATATAATATACAAGTAATTGAACATGTTACATGCACATATGGTTATGAGTAAATATGTGCTTTATTATTATTGTAGTTGCAGCTTCCAGTTCCTTGGATAGTCACATCCGGTTGTGGGATTTAGACTCTGGCCTAGAACTGAAGAATATTGATGCTGGACCTGGTGAGAAAATAGTCAGAATGAAATGATTATGTTAAAACAATAAAATAAATGTAGATGTGTGATGTTGATGGTATAAAAAATCGCTTATATTCTAACATTATTATGACAGTAATATTTCAGATTTATATTTTAGTTTTTAAAGTGCACATAGATTCAGAGACCCTCATCAGATTTTATCTTAGGATATTGTTTACAATCAGTTTTACTATTTATAATAATCTTTGGTGAAATGATGTAAATTGGCTAAATATATATGTGTGTGCATTAATTAGCTTGTAATCTACTAGTTATATGCTTAAGAGATTGAATTTTGTTTTTAACCATATAAGATATAGCACTGTAACTTTTGCTACATATTTCCAAATTACACTTTTGTCTATTATCAATAATGTCATTGAAGTACTTTAGAAAAAAAAATCTTAAGCATTATTCTAAGCAAGAGGGATTCAAAATTTGTAGAGGAAAAATCACAGTTTTAGTCTCTTTATTAATTGCCGATTGAGCCAATTAATTTTATTAGAGTTCAAGAAGCATTGTAGAATAATTGACTTTATGCAAAAATTAAAATTTTGGTTATTTGAAAATTTCAAGCTCTACATGCAACCACCATTTATGTACTTTGATTTGTATTCCAAGGGTATTTTTTATTTTAATTACACCTCAATAATAAAGAAATATCTGACCAAAATATAGGGCTTATGTAGAATATTGGAGCTCCATCAGTCTGATCACAAATATTTTTTTAAACATTTACTAGATTAAACACTAATACGTCATTCTTTTAAGATAGTAGATCTACATTCAAATTGTCTCAACTTGTAGTTTTGGTATATTAAAAAACTTTAAATCTTCTATGAAGTATGTGATTTAAAAATAGTTTTCAAGATAAGATCCTATTTAACAAAAACAGCACTAAAAACTCCAGCTGAAGATGCATTACTAAACGGTAAATTGATATGTGTAAAAACACTCATACAATTTCCTTGCTTAAACTTGCTATGATCAGACTGAATATTTTCATCATATACCTTTTTTTTACTATCAGTGTGGTTTTAACCCCTTTACTATGGTTAGCAGTATTTATTCCCTGTGCAATGGCATTAAAACAGGTTGTATATGATTTCTTGGTATAATCATTTGTTTTGTGATGGCATATTCATTTGTCTTTAAAAACACTCAGAAGTTACTTGTACAACATTTTTGAGCTTTCTGCTCCAAGTTATAATATTTGTTGTAATGTTGCAGCTTTTGATGTACAGTTCCAATGGGGATAAAACATGGTTATGATTTCATGGCAAAATAATTGTTTTGTGATGTCATATTCATTCGTCTTTTAGTACCACTCAAAAATTACATGGGGGACATTTTTTAGCTTAATACCTTCAAACTTGCATGGAAGAAATTTCAGGGTCTTTCTGGCATTTGTTGCTTTGGTGTTTCTAGGGTAATAGGGAAGTAAACTCTTGTTCAAATAAAAAATATAGTTGATTCCTTTTCTTTTTTTCAAGTTTATTATGGATAAACATTGAATGACACGGAAGCCTCAGGATTTATTCCAGTACTTGTATGAAAGCATATAATTCTGCTGAAGATATGCAGTGGTCACATTATTTTATCATGTAATCTACACAACATTTAATATATTAATGCAACAAAACTTGATGATTCCCCTTGAATATCATTTGCATAATCAAGGCAAAAACATCTGTGTGAGAGTATAGGGAAATTATGTTAGTATGTACTGTAGATTCTACTGTACAGCACACACGTATAAATAGGTATCATGCTGTAGGCTCCACAAGACAAATTAAATTAACAACTGCACATATAGTGTTTTAAAATAAGAAATACTAGGAGCTTAAGTTTCAGTTAAGTATAACTTCCAGAAACAAAAGATAATTTTTTAAAATGTCTGTGTAATTTTTTTAATATAATGATGTTTGTTTAGTCATACATTTATTTTTCATTGCATTAACCTCTTAATAACAACTAATTTGGTGAAAAGTATATTACATTTTTATATTTTTCAGTTGATGCATGGACGGTTACATTTTCCCCAGACTCTAGATTTTTAGCTTCTGGAAGCCATTCTGGAAAAATTAATTTGTATGGTGTTGAAAGTGGAAAAATGGAGTCTACATTAGATACTACAGGGAAATTTACTCTAAGTATAGCATTTGTGAGTATTCCAAACTTGGTTGCTAAGTTCTCTCAATCAGTGTTTTCTGTCATGATATGGGTAAATGATTAACCCTTTCGAGACTGATCCCAGCTTAAAGACTATATCATCTCGTGTGTTGACTCGCATTCAAAATTTATGAACTTATGTCAGTAAGTTTGGTACCAAACTGTAGATTATAATTGAAATTTTAGAACTATATATTACTTAATATATAGTTCTAATGGTGTGTTGAATGCAGCACTGGTTCAAATTAGATGTTTGTGAAGTTAAAATACAAGTCTATAGTTTCATATGAATTAGAAACTCAAATTACAGATATTGACAAGCGAGAATATAAAATAAGAAGGTCTTATCTTTTCTATTTTTAAGATATTGTTCACATAATAAATCAAACATAGTGGCACCCTGCCCACCTCTTTCCATTTTTAGAAACACTCCCTTATATACACTTACTTATATATATATGACATGAATAACCAATTGGAAGCTCAGAATGTCTCCTAATAGTTTTCCTAGCCTTTCTAATATACCTAGCACCATATCTCTCTTTTAAACCAAGATTCGAATGAGGTAGGTTACCTCTTTAGTCTGCTCAAAATTTCATATTTTTTTAGAGTAAAATACATCTTAGTTACTAAGCTTGATAAATTATAGTAGAATTCT